TTAATTAAATCGGCTATTCGTGAGAACATCTAAAGACTTACTCCAAGGAACGAAGGTACTCGAGCTTCTCGACGTACTCCACGGAGCTCTGGTCCAACCCCGGCTCATCGCGGAGGGTAGAGAAGTAGGCGGACTCCTCGGCAGCAAGGTTTGCGAGGTCGTTGCGCGTGACATTGATGCGGGGGAGAAGCAGGTCGAGATTGAGTTCGCCTGCATCCACGAGTCGGAGCGCTTGGACGAAATTGTTGAAGAGGAAGCGCCCCAGATTTGTGTACTTGTCGTAGTCCCACTGGCGGAAGTACTGCACGATCAGCAGGTGGCGGCGGTAGCCACTAGCGTAGCGAACAATTGATGCGAGCGAGTTTGATCCGCTGAACACGCGCTCGAGCATCTCCAGATCTTCAATGCCGGCGCCTTGATGATGTTGGGGTGATGGAGAAGCTGGCACTTGTAGGAATGAGAGTACGCATGGAAAGACAAACACAGAAGCGCGAGCCACTGCTTGCGGAACACCGCACCAAGGGTGCTGCGAGCAACTGTGCTTCGAAGACACAACCAATGTCGTACCCACAGAGCTTTCGGCCTGGGAGGCACTGGTTGATCTTGTTGACGATAGAAAGGCCATATTTAGCTCTTAGATCATGATCGGTAAGTATGACGTAGTGATCGGGGACAAACCGAAGAGTACTCACTTTTCCCCGCTCCTGACCATGTCCGCAATCCACAGCATCTTCCCGTGCCTGCAGCACGACGCGAAGATTCCAGTCTCCTCGAAGGCGCCGTAAGCGTGCTTCTTCACCTCGGCCTCAGCAGCCTTCCAATTTGTCGCGCATGGTGAGGGGTTCGCCGTCGGCACCATCCGTGGGATCGCCCTCGGTATCTTTAGGATCTGATCGTGGTGCCGGCTCGTCCGCATCACTCCCGTCGCTTAGTGCGCTAGCGACGGGCCTAGCTTTGACCTCATCTTGGCGCTTCAGAACCTCATTGGCGTGCTGATCGACAAAGGGGCGAGGGAGAATAAGGTCGTTCTTGAATTCACGCGTGTCCGCAACATCTTGCGTGCTGCGTGCGAGCCTCTTGAGGGAATTGCCACCATCCATGCCCAGCTTCTTGTCCCACTCCGTGGGTTCCTCGTCCTCGAGCTGCAGGGAGTATAAAATTAGCATGATGATCAAAGCGATCGAGATTGTTCCCACTTCATAGCCGCATGGCGGACAGCCGTGGATCGCGCGCCAGTCCAGCGTATCCCAACCGAGCGCCGACATGACGTCACGCTGGACGTCCTCGAGAATCTCAATGTAAATGTCGTAAGCGTCCCCCAGCGCTGTGCGATAATGCCGGCGGTAGCCCATCTGATGGCTTTGGATTAGCTTGCAATAGTACATACTCAATGGATACTCACCTCATATTTGTAACACGCCATCTTTGCGAACGCCTCCGTGCTAAAGGATGGTTTGAATAGCTTGATGGTCCGGAATAGCTCCAATGTGTCAAATGACATGGCGAGCTCCGGCTGTGAAGGCGTTGTGGCGAGATAGCCGCGCGCGGCGAGCGCCTCGCAAGGAAACTGGTCGCTCGCCACCTCATAGTCCACTTGTACTTGGAGGGTATTCAGGTCTATGCACGCCACCTTGCGGACCTGAACGTCTGAGCCCGACAGGAGCGGAGAAGCACTCGGCTGCGGCTGCAGGGTAGGGGAAGATTGATCGGAGGGCTTCTCGGTCGCACGGATCGGCTCGGAAGCGGGAATCTCGGACGCTGATCGGGGCCCGTCCTCGGCGCCATCTGAGTCCTCCTTCCCCTGCCACTTGTACTTCCACTTCAAATACATAGTCTTTAACGCAGCCATGCGGGGCTTCCACGCGTTGTGCTGAGCTTGGCGACGCTCTTTCCACGTGCGCTCGTCTTTTGCGCTGCGCACGCTTCCTCTGGAGGGATAGAAGATGTGAGCTTATCTGACTTCAATAGATAGAAGTACTTACTGCGCTTGATAGAGCGCCAATCTCATCGCCTCGACATCAGCGTCATCGCTCCACTGAATGCCCTCTTCTCTGGGGACTTGAATGTCGATCCCCAGTAATGATCCGTCATCATCATTGTAGCGCTTGAATGTCTGGTTCATGGCCTCGCGCTGCTCCTGTGTCAAGTCTGCCAATACTTGAGCCACTCTATGGTCTCAGAACCGTAGTAACTACGCACTATTGATCAAAGCTTGATTGCGCGCCTTTGCGGCTTCTTGCTCCGCCTTCGCCTCTTTGCCGGTCATCTTCTTTGTTTGCATCGGTGTGATGCCCAGCCGTGATTGATCCGGCTGCGTCATCGGGTGCCTCCCTCGTCCTGCGCGTGTTACTGTGTTCCTCTTACCTGCTCTCCCACTCGACGCCATAGTAAAGAGTAGTAGTAGAAGAAGATGGTGTCGATGCACCATGGATAACGATAATCCGTATACCTTGCTTGCAGTGTCGGGCAGCTCATTCATCCATCAAACATGAGGCGCCAGGTGAAACCAAGTGTGCGGGTGAAATTTAGCGTGCCTGAGACTGATCACTGGGCGCCGTTGCTGCCCGAGTCTTTGCCCTCTCCGACATAAGCCTGCCGCTTCAAACACATGTATTGTAGCGTACATAGAGTCCCGTACATGTGTGTATTGTACTGTATGAGGGGAGGAGGAGGAGAAAACATACCTGGGAACATAGGAGGAGGTGAGGCACGAGGCTATCCGGGCTGTCTGATGGGAGGTAGTGGCGCCATGTGGTCGCCCGCGAGATCATTCTGCCGAGATCATTCCTCCGCCTGCGCCATCACTCACGCGCCGTGCCAAGTGCCGCCGCCGCACCTCCCGCCCGCCGTCTCGTATGATGACATCATCCTCCGCGCCCCCGCACTTGGGCGGCGGGGGCAAGCGCGCAGTGGGAGCAGGCTACGCCCCTATTCAAAACATCTAATTGCATCAATGAATGTGTGCCGTAAATACAAGTACATACAAAAAAGAACGAAGGAAAACGATGGGGAGGGAAGGGCAGGACATAGGGGACAGCAAGCTCGCCGTGGGAGACAGCGAGCACGAGTGGCGGGGCGGGAAGGCGCCGGCGGCGATGCGGCGCGGGCGCGGTGTCCGGAGATCTCGGGGCGGGAGGGAGCATACGTCATTGTCGGAGGGATCGGAGCGGTTGATCGGGACATCACGGAGACGGGCAGGGGGAAACATACGGGGGGGCAGAACATAAGCCATAGTAGGGGGTGTTAGGACCTTCCCTACAAGGGAGGGGATGGGGGCGCGGCGTAGTGCAACTAGTAGTAGGGGGAAGGCGAGAAATTGAGTAAACGAGGCTCGGCACGGCCCCCCGGATCACACGAGTTACGGGAAGCGCGATACCGTGAGGCACAGGTGGCCTTCCGACAGGCTTTCGTAGCAAGGTTGCCCCAACAGGTGCTCATTCTCCACAAGTAGGGGATATCGTTCTCAACATCGCACTTCTCTGTACCTTCAACCGACTTAGCCGTGGCATCGGATCACTCAGACGACTCCTCCACTGAGCCTGTCTTCGACGAGAACACTCCTCCAAGTGATCTCCATTGCTACCGCTGTTTTCACGTATTCGACACACGAGACCAGGAAGATTGTCACTGGGACGAAGAAGAAGAAGATTTTTACGCTTGCGGTTTACAACCGTGTCCTAACCGTCATCGGGACATCAACGCGCCAGCAAACTTTGGTCACAGACCTGCTAATTTACGCGTACCAGGACGACTTGTCGCTCCTGATTATCCGCAGCATCCTTCTCATCTTCTCTCGCTCCCCGCACTTCCTGCGTCAACTTCGGTCACTGCGCCAGGTTCTCCACTTCCCTCGGCCGCAGCAACCGGACCTCCTCCCTCTCCTATCTCCTCACACCACTCTTCGCTCGAAGTCGAGCAAGTCCTTGAAGCAGACGTCACCTCTGACGCTCCGCTCTACGGTTCATTCGTCTACGGTCCCCTCGAATTCTATCCTATCGTCGTTCATACTCCCTCTCCGCCTCCACCCACTCTCGTCCCTCTAGACGATACCCTCGAGATCCTCTACACGCTACCTCTCATGGACACTGTCCCCGTCGCCAAGGGTTCGGTGCTCAAGGGTCACGATGGATACAAGCAGTGGGCGCACAACATGGAAGGGATGTGCCTCATGCTGTCCTGCTGGGAAATTACCGCCACTCCTTCACTTGATCCTCCACCTGCTGCCACCGAAGTCACTGCTCTTGCTGCTTGGACGCAGCGTGAATCGAAGGCACGAGGCCTGATCGTCAAACAGGTCTCGATCGAGGTTAAGGAGGCGCATCTCACCGGCAAGACCTCTGCAAACGCAATGTGGGAGGCTCTCAAAGCGGCTTACGACAAGTCGGACGCTGCGTCGAGCTTCGCCCTCTTCGAGGAACTTATCAACCAGGACCGTTTCGACGAGAACAAGGACCTCGCCGACCAAATCTCGACCTATAACGCCAAGTTCGACCGCATCGACGCCACCATTGCGAAATACGGTGACGGTCAACGCGCCTTCATGTGCATGGGCAAGCTCCCGGTCTCCTATTGCGCCATTGTCACGACTATTCTTGCGACTTACGAGTCCAAGAACATCACTATCGACAACGTCATCTCGCAGGTTCGCTCCAAGCAGACCTTGCGCAAGACATTGATCGGCAACGGCGAGGAGTCCGTCAGCAAGGTCACCAAGACCAAGCCCAAACCCCGTGGTCCCTGCGCTCACTGCAAAGGGAAGAACCACGACGAATCTCACTGCTGGCAGAAGCATCCTGAGCTCAAGCCGCAGGGGAAACGTCAGGGCAACGGCAAAGGCAAAGGCAGAGATAATGGTGGTGGTGGAAATTCTGGACATTCGCAAAACGTTTCGGCTCAGACTGTCAATGTACTTGTAGCGTCAGACGCCTCGTCCGCGTCGAATGAGATCTCTGCTGCTTGGTACAACGTGGGTAACACCGCTAAGCGTGATTCTCACTTCGCAGTCTGGTGCATGGATTCGGGTGCTTCACGTCACGTATCGGCATACAAGCATGACTTCTCCTCCTACACTCAGTTTTACGGCCGTACGTGCGGTGGTTACCCCGTGGCGATGCAAACACTGCCGGAGCTCGTACGAGCATGTACCCCGTCCGAGACGGTCGTACGAGCTCCCCAAAGGCGGTACGCACCGGAATTGCGGTAATGCATGTAGTACGTAGCCACAGACGTTCTGAGCACATACCGACTTGTTTTACGGCCGTACGTGCGGTGGTTACCCCGCGGCGATGTAAACACTGCCGGAGCTCGTACAAGCTCGTATGGGAATGCAATTACATAAGTAAATCAACACCGAAGAGTGACGACGGAGCCGATTGTCGGCATTCAGAAGGCGGAGGTAATACCGAACCTTCAATACCGAGCGCCAATACGGCCCTTATCAACGAACAAGGGGTCCCACTGCTACATCACCAATCCCCCCACTACCATGTGTTTCCTGAAGATCGAAAAAGGTGTATACTATGTGGAAATTGTGTCCCGCGTAGTAGAGGTCACTGTTGCTTTCCTCACTAAGATGATCACCACTGACCACTTGAAACACAGATATCCAACATTGCCCCAAGAATATACTTGGAGTGCCTGGTGAACGGCTGTGGATCGGTAGAGGTCGACTTAGACCCATATGATGTGGTATATAATGCTGACACCCCAAAGCTGTATGTGCACTGATAATATTCGTCTAGTCATTGGTCTTTCCACGGCCGAAGTTTGGTCAAATGGTTCGGATCCGCAGATTCGTCGAACAGAACAACATGTTTGAGTGTGAAGAGCTCATAACGGCACAAGAGGCGACGTGCGCCGACGGTATGATGTAATCGGCTTAATATTTATGTTCGCTGACTAGGCCTGATAGAAACCACACCTCGTATGGCCTTGTCCCGGACCAGACCTTGGAAGCTGGAGAAGAAGTAAGTCAGATTACGGGATAGGAATGTACATCGTAAACCTTTGTATATCGGTAGGTGTAAATGGACACATTGTCCTTTGTGTGCCTCGTTACCGGAATGCTGAGAATGCCAATATCAAGCAACGCGCTGAAGAGTGGAAATGTTGGCACAGAGTTCATTGCCGGATACATGCAATCACTACCGAGGCAGATGTGTCTATACAGCCAAATACAGGGTCTACTGAAGAGGTTTAGGATGCACGAGACGGACGGTGCGGAACATCTCTGCGCTCTGCTTCTCCTTTCTCTCCCACATGTGAGCTTGTCCGTTAGCGTAACACTTATGGCAGGGTGACTCCGCCATGAACACGGCCTGGTAGAACCAGTTCTCCTTGAGCCGGGCAAAATCCAGCACCACGCAAAGCATCTCCAGGTCAAGCGCATTCAGGTTCTCCCACCAATGGTCCTTTCGCTCGTAGCCACACTGCCACATTGTTCGTTGGGCTACAAGATGTCAGGTGTCACCTGTGGTCACCACGGCTGTATTACAATGCCCCAGGTACATGGGAATAAGCTTTTGCTATTCCTGAGGGCGTTGTTATTGTAATAAACGTGGTGAGGTCTTTAACAATAACAACGCAAGGGGGTCTTGTAATAACTGGTGCTGAGGCTGTTAAAAGCAACGTGGGGTTGTTAAAACTGGCGTAGGGTTGTTAAAACTGACGTGGGGCTGTAAAAAAGGGTGCAGGGTTGTTAAAATCGACGTGGGGCTGTAAAAAAAGGGTGCAGGGCTGTCAAAAAGGGTGCTGGGTTGTTAAAACCGACGTGGGGCTGTTAAAACCGACGTGGGGCTGTTAAAATCGACGTGGGGCTGTAAAAAAGGGTGCAGGGTTGTTAAAATCGACGTGGGGCTGTTAAAACCGACGTAGGGCTGTCAAAAAGGGTGCTGGGTTGTTAAAACCGACGTGGGGCTGTTAAAATCGACGTGGGGCTGTCAAAAAAGATGCTGGGTTGTTAAAATCGACGTGGGGCTGTAAAAAAGGGTGCAGGGCTGTTAAAACTGACGTAGGGTTGTTAAAACTGACGTGGGGTTGTTAAAATCGACGTGGGGCTGTAAAAAAAGAATGCAGGGCTGTTAAAACCAACGTGGGGGTATTACAAAACGTGCCAGCTTGTTAAAAGTGACGTGGAGATATTACAGAATGTGCCAGCCTGTAATAACTGACGTAGAAGTATTACAGAACATGCTAGGCTGTAATAACTAACACCAGGGTCCCACTGGGACCTACCTAGCTATAAATAGCCTGGTTCAGGTACTGCTACAGATGGGCATTCTGGCAGGTATAGTGGGCTGGAATTGGGGATAAATGGTTAGCTAGAGATGAGTATGGCTAAACGGATACGTTTGGGCTGGTATAAGCAGCTGGAATGGGGAGCAGTAGCTAGTATTTACCAGTAAATGGGCAGCCTGGGGTGCAGCACAGGGTGGGGAAATCGTCAGGCACTAGTTATTTATCAAAAGAGGCATCTAATAGCTTTCTAACAAATCCAAGATCATGTTGATTGGAGCAGTATTGGTGGAGATACAGATGTACCCCCGTTTTGGCCGATAGGAGCATCTGCTAGAATCAGAACTGGTGGATGGAATCCCCTGGTTCTTGTTGTATACCGTGTGGATTGCCTTCCAATGAGTGGGGTCGAAATCCGATCGGAGAAAAACCCCTTCATTACGGAATAGATTGCTGATTACGCTTCAGCCACAGCGCTTTTGATCTCTCGATAGCCACTTCCCATATGCTCCGATAAGTGTTCTTCTTTTTGCAGTCTTTTCCTCTACTCTACGGAAAAGTGTTCTAGGTGTCATTTTAACAAGAACAGCCCTCTGTACCTTCCTGTGCAGCTGTGCACACTTGCAGACCTTTGCCTCACCCCTCCATAACCGCTCCATTTATCAATCTGGTTCTTGTTGTATTGTTTGACCATTGTGGTATACTGTATGTTACTAGTATGAAAACATTATCGGTCTTTGTTTAGGCTATATCCATCCTTATCTCTCCTCCATGCATTGCCCCCTCAGCACATGAATCCATCTCCGATAAATGTACACTGCGTAGATCTGATAAGAGCTTGAACACACCTATCCAACGCAGGTACAATCACGAAGATCGGTGAAGAACTCAGGAAGTAACAGTGTCTACAGCTGAAACAGGGCTCATTTTGCTCTACAGCCATGCCCCTCACTCTACACAAATGTGAAATAGGGCACACACACACATATACCCATGGCAATAACACATGGAACATGTTTCAGGATGATATTGAATATGACTTAGCACCTCTGCCACATGTGGGGGCAAGTGTACCATTCCTTGCAGGGTTGAGTGGGTGTTATGTGAAGAGGTTTCATCTCACACTTTGTAGCCCAGTGGTGCATTCTGGGCTCCAATGGAACATCTTCACCAATTCTGGGCTGATTCACATGGTTCTTTCTGCATCTTGTAGCTGTGTTCGAGGCGAGTTCTGATCGACTTCACAAGAGACTATCAGAGTATCACATATGATTGGATCGGGGGAGCAAGTGGGGGGACAGATAGGGGCATTACACTATCAAACATGTTCTGATAAGTATGATCATTACATATCTTAGGGCCCTTGAGCAGTGCCAATTCGACACAGAAGACACCATGGTGATATAATGGGTAGTTATGGAGGGGTGAGGCAAAGGTCTGCAAGTGTGCACAGCTGCACAGGAAGGTACAGAGGGCTGTTCTTGTTAAAATGACACCTAGAACACTTTTCCGTAGAGTAGAGGAAAAGACTGCAAAAAGAAGAACACTTATCGGAGCATATGGGAAGTGGCTATCGAGAGATCAAAAGCGCTGTGGCTGAAGCGTAATCAGCAATCTATTCCGTAATGAAGGGGTTTTTCTCCGATCGGATTTCGACCCCACTCATTGGAAGGCAATCCACACGGTATACAACAAGAACCAGGGGATTCCATCCACCAGTTCTGATTCTAGCAGATGCTCCTATCGGCCAAAACGGGGGTACATCTGTATCTCCACCAATACTGCTCCAATCAACATGATCTTGGATTTGTTAGAAAGCTATTAGATGCCTCTTTTGATAAATAACTAGTGCCTGACGATTTCCCCACCCTGTGCTGCACCCCAGGCTGCCCATTTACTGGTAAATACTAGCTACTGCTCCCCATTCCAGCTGCTTATACCAGCCCAAACGTATCCGTTTAGCCATACTCATCTCTAGCTAACCATTTATCCCCAATTCCAGCCCACTATACCTGCCAGAATGCCCATCTGTAGCAGTACCTGAACCAGGCTATTTATAGCTAGGTAGGTCCCAGTGGGACCCTGGTGTTAGTTATTACAGCCTAGCATGTTCTGTAATACTTCTACGTCAGTTATTACAGGCTGGCACATTCTGTAATATCTCCACGTCACTTTTAACAAGCTGGCACGTTTTGTAATACCCCCACGTTGGTTTTAACAGCCCTGCATTCTTTTTTTACAGCCCCACGTCGATTTTAACAACCCCACGTCAGTTTTAACAACCCTACGTCAGTTTTAACAGCCCTGCACCCTTTTTTACAGCCCCACGTCGATTTTAACAACCCAGCATCTTTTTTGACAGCCCCACGTCGATTTTAACAGCCCCACGTCGGTTTTAACAACCCAGCACCCTTTTTGACAGCCCTACGTCGGTTTTAACAGCCCCACGTCGATTTTAACAACCCTGCACCCTTTTTTACAGCCCCACGTCGATTTTAACAGCCCCACGTCGGTTTTAACAACCCAGCACCCTTTTTGACAGCCCTGCACCCTTTTTTTACAGCCCCACGTCGATTTTAACAACCCTGCACCCTTTTTTACAGCCCCACGTCAGTTTTAACAACCCTACGCCAGTTTTAACAACCCCACGTTGCTTTTAACAGCCTCAGCACCAGTTATTACAAGACCCCCTTGCGTTGTTATTGTTAAAGACCTCACCACGTTTATTACAATAACAACGCCCTCAGGAATAGCAAAAGCTTATTCCCATGTACCTGGGGCATTGTAATACAGCCGTGGTGACCACAGGTGCAGGTGTGTTAATGACCAGTGGGCGGAGCAACGTACTTTCATCATTGTACAAGGTGGAGCCCTCTTCCGATGTTCTGGTAAACGTCCAGATCCATGAAGGGTGCTTGTTCCGAGCACTCCTGGTGGTTGCTTCCAGGATCGTGGTGTTGACAGTGAGATTGGACTTTGTGATGGGCTTGTAAATGACCAGATCATCCGATTTTTTCTTGACATCTTCAGGGTCGTTCGGGTCGTACAGGGCAGCGAGGGCAGTGCGAGAAAGCATGTAGAGCTGGACATACTTCGCTACTGAGTGGTCGACCATGCGGATCTCGCTAAAGGAGCGGAGAGATTTGCGGACAGAAGTGGCGTTGCGAACCCGAGCGTAGTAGAGGTAGGACTTGGTGTCAATCCCGTCACGAACACCGGAAAGACATTCGTTCATCTCTCCCTTCCGAAGTTCTCGCTCCGCAAGGACGATGTCTATCAGACCGTGATCCTTGCAATACCGAATACCGAGTGAGGACGGCATGAGAATGGGAAGTTGCTCTGGACTGCCGAAGTCAGTTGCCTGCGCTGTGTGGCGTGTTCGCTGTTGCGTCAGTCCCGTAGTCTTCGAGGGAATCCCATTCCTCGCTGAGATCCCCGGGGCCAACGACCAGCCAGGGAGGAGCGTTACTGAGATACTTTGTCGCGTCGGTATTGAACGATTGAATGTCTGATGACAACCGTTGCCTCTTCTCCGAAATCGTCAGTTTCGCCTTGTGGTAAAGCTGTGCTGCAAGTCCCGAACGAGTCGCGCAATGACCACCCTGAACATGATAAATCAGCATGCATTCTGCCAAACGCATTATTGCACATGTGCCCCAGTATCCACTTCACGATCGAGCGCCTGTGGTGATTACCGACACGCGAGATGCGGACCCTCGGCATTGGCAATACCGATCATTGAATACTGAGACCTTGACTGATATATTCAGGTGGTGCGGAACTGGCTCACCTCTGGCGGTCTATACTGATTCCCAATGAGAGCCATGCAAGTAAGTCCGCTGAGATCGGATTCTCGAGTGATACCGTGTGCGTGGTGTCGCCGTTCAAGAGAGCCGTCCTGACTTGCGTCTTGTTCGCCGCTGTAGTCTAATGAATATAAGTGTGCAGTTATTAAGATCAGACTCACGTTTGATCTTTTTCGGTGTAAAAATGTCCATGGCGGAGGCATCGGTTTTGCGTGCCTCTCGCGCATCGAGAATCTCCTGTTTCCATTCGGCGCACTCTTCCTCATTAGCAACACGGTCAATTTCTTGAAAGGCCTCCTTTGCTGCAGTGTACTCTTCCACTGATTCCTCCCACTTGTCAACCAATGACTTCGCTGCGGGCCGATAAGTACCGATTGCCGAACTTGACTTCCGGAAGAGACCTACGTAGACGACAGAGCTTCATCCAATTCGAATCTTGCATGTGAGCGTCGATAACCTCTTTGCGATGCGACGTAGCCATCCCATGAATACTGTCCTTAATAAAATTCAATGGCTTCCAGAGGTTTCGACAACTTCACCATCTTGATGGCCGACGTTGGGAACAAGCTCAGCGAATGCCGAGCGTAACACGATTTTGATGGCCGTGAACGTGGAACTGGCCGATGGCCCAAAAGAAGGTAGCGGCAATGGGCCACTGCAGGAACGGAGATGCTTCAAATCGTTTGCGCGCGTTGATGTGGTACTGACAGGCGATGTCGTAGATGAGGACAAAAGTCGTGTAGCCGGCGAACCACTTCCATGCCCAGTTTACGAGTAATCCATGTTCCGTTGGCTGCCGGCAGTATAAGAACCAGTACGAGGTTCATGGCCGAAATATCACTCATGCTTCACCGCACTGAAAGTCCACACTGTGTGTGGAATGAAGAAGCCATGCCTCGAGCAGGCAGAGGCACCAATTCCCGTTGCGTCTAGATGGGCCTTGCCCCCAAGGGACTCTTTGGTGGCTCGGTGCTCGTTGCACGTTGCGGCAACCCGCTTTACCGAAGTCAGGTCGTGCACCGACAATGCGGTAGGTCGAGACATACCTCATCCTTTGCCCTTGTAAGTGCATCCTTCAAATGTGCGTCAAACCATTCTTGAGCGACAAAGTACAGGTCACCGTCGACGAAAGATACATTGTCTGCCGGGTTTCTCATCACCATGTGCTCTAGGTTGAAGCTACCGTCGTGTGCTGTGAAGCAGGATATTTGTGGCTGATCAAATCATTAGTGAGCCGGTTACACCTCGGTAATGAGGCGTACCTTTCGGCACTCTCGGCCCAGCCAGGGGATGTGTTGATTCCTGGCTGGGGACAGGCTGAGCAGGCAATCACTAATCCACCGGGCTTCCTCTCGGTATTCGATTCCTCATGACCGATGCCTGCATGAAGTTTCCACTTCAGCACTCGGTATTGCCTGGACGTGCGGAGGAGAGCCTTGTAGCCCAGCTAATTTATATTGTGTCAGCTGTGTTCCTTACGCTGCATTGGTACTGACCTGGATGGAGCCCCAAAACGCCCCATCGGTAGTGCGACAGAGCTTCATATGATAAAGACGTTTTGCATTGCTGATTGGTGAGGAGGAAGTCGTCGAGGCAGGCTAGCGTGAACACGGTGACTGGACACTTCACGGACGCCGGATAGAATCCACGAAGCAACAGATGCTCAGCCTCGGAATCTGCATTTGTGCACTTGCAGAAAGTGAACGCCAGGCGTTGAATGCCAGTGGTGTGTACCACTGTGAGAATGCGCTCCCCTCGGTACATGGGTACATCTGGTGAAGCGGTGCTGGACGGACTGCCGGCGGCATTGTGGTTAGTTTGACCGGTATTTGATCCAATGCCGGCCTCTTCGCCGACTACTGTGTCGTCCTCATCTTCCTCGTCCGGATCTTCAGGATACTCGTCAATCGGTAGATTGGCAGCGTCTTCGAGTGGCTCGAGCGAATCCAAGTCGTCAGCAATAGGTGGTAGATTGAGTTCTGGTACAGCCCCAGGAGGCAGTTCCATGAGACTTGGACATAGCCTGCCATCATGACCGCAGTGAACCTGAAGTCTCAGATCGAATAGCGATGTGCGCCGCCAATGATTGGTATCCCAAAAATCGACGTGGTGGTGCACGAGGTGGAGATGTGCCTTTCTGCAGCATTTGGAGCAAAACATTGGCTGACCCAAACACATGCAACATCTCCACGCCAACACCCCACCGCACTCGCACTTGGCTTCCGGCTCTACCAGTTTCCAACGTTCGATGAGTCTTCGCAAGAACTAAGGCTGTTTGAGGGTCTGGCTCACTTCGCAGGTAGACCCGCGATGATCCGGAGCCGTGAGCTGGGGATCATGAGCCGTGCGGCTCCGGCTCTTCCCGGCTCCGGCTCCCAGCGGCTCCGGATCAAGGGTGCCGAAATATTGCGGGTCTGCGGGTCTATCCGCGGATTATCCGCAGATTCGCACATAATATATCACCACAGCGTACATTATGTTTCGTTTGAACTCAGTGTAACACAGCTTCCAAACGATACTGTTTTCGTGTGATTTGGTGGAGAACTGACCGAGCTATGGTCATACCATAGAACATTGACCCATGAGAGCACTGTTGGTGCCTGCTTGCGGCGTCTAGACTCTGTCCCGATGGGCAATGTTCAGATTTGAACGCAGCGTCTTGCGCGCGCTGTCCTCCTCTCCACTCCTCCTCCACTTGCTCTCCACCCTCGATGTGCTTCTCTCGTCATTCATCTCGCGTGCGCGGCCGTTATCAAGCCCAGCAGTTACGTCCTGGGGTTGCGGCGAGGTCCCGCGGCTCTGATCCCCCTGGTGAGTTCTTCGCGTCCTCTCTGCTCTCCCCGCGTCACCTCCCCATCCCAGGTTCCGCCATGTCGGCGGCGCTCTCGTCCAAATTGCCCTGGCTGGTATCGCGGGCGTCGTTTCCAGCCCCCATGCCGTCCGTCTCGCCCCCGCGTCGTCCGCATCTCCCCCCGAATCGCCCTCGCCTCGCCCATGCGGCACGCATCCGTCTCGCCCGTCTCGCCTGCCTCTCCCCGTCAGCCCGCGCCTGCAGTGATCCACGCGGCATCATCGCGCGCGCACCCTTCTCAAGCTTTGGCAAGGAGTTTCATCGTGGGGTCGCAGGTAAGCTCCCGCGGCCCCGATCTCCTTTGGTACGTTCTCCCTGAGTCTGCTCCCTGCGTCCTCGCTCGCCCCCGTCCTCAGCTCGCCCTCCCCTCCTCCGTCTCGCGTCGCCCTCTGCCCGATTTTCCCCCCGCGTCGCCCGCCGCATCCTTGTCCACATCGCCTTCGCCGTCTCGCCGTCCTCGTGCCGTCCACCCGCCGCGTCCTCCGCTCTCAACGTTGTTGTCCGCCTGGCGCCATCCACCCCCGCGTCCTCCGCCCTTCACGCGTCCTCCGTGATCTCCGCGTCGTCCGCCCTCCACCCTCGCCCTCGTGCCCACGTCGTCCTTGCACGCGTCGCCCTTGCACGCGTCGCCTGCCCACGTCATCTCAGCCCCATCTTGCCCCCGCATCGACCTTGTCTCCCCGCGTCGCCCTCGTCTCCCGCCTGCCCCGCGTCGCCCTCGTCTCCCGCCTGCCCCGCGTCGCCCGTGTCACCGACGTCCACGTGTCACCCCAATCTCCGTCCACGCGGCATCATCACGCTCGCGCGCGCGGCCATTCTGTAAGGTCACGGTGAGCTCCCGCGACCCCAATTTCCCTTGGTGAGTCCTCCCCTGCACCCCCGCACCCCACGTCACCTCCTCCGCGCTGGCAGCCCGCCATCAGGGAAATCCCAAAATTCTAATTAGCACTAACAGCCATAATATTAGTGCTATTGGCCCACTATCATGACTATTGTGTTTCAACTCATCTAGTGGAGTTTAACAGCCCACTATTGTCAGGCTCCCTTGTGTAATGTGACTATTTTGACATTGCATGTGACTATCACTCAGAGACCTCGTCTATCCGCCCCTAACTTTCACTATCAGCCTCACTATCCAACCATGCCGAACTAATACAGGTGCCTCGGGATGGGTGCAGGTCATGCTCTCCCAACCCTTACACCCGTCGAGGCCGTCGCCACATGGGCGTCCTGTCACTCGTGCTTGTTGTCCCCCTTCCCGTTCATCACACTTCTGTAGATAAACCAGAGATGAAATATATTTATTACATGCTACTACAACTTGGTGTTAAGGCAACGGGGAGGAGGGCCGCGCGCGCGGAGGACGCGCGACACGGAGGTGGGCGCCATGGTGGGTAAGGTGTAGGAGGGCGGCGCGGAGGACGCGGGTGACGTGCGCGCGGGAGAGAGACGCGGAGGAAGGCAAAGGGGCGATGGCAACGAGTGCAATGCAGAAGGCTCGCGGGAGGGCCGTGACGCGGGGGGAGGTGGGCAACCCACACGCGGAGGAGGGCGAGGCAAAGGAGGTGGTGAGGCAGAGGCGGGCAGCAGGAAGACGGGTAACGTGGAGGAGGGCAGCGGTGAGGAGGGCAATGTGGAGGTGGGCAAGGTGCAGGCGCGTGAGGTGGGGGCGGGTGGCGCGAAGGAGGTGGGCGAGCTGCATGAGCGGCGGCACAGGCGAAGCAGGGTGAGGAGGGTGGTATGGGCGGGGAGCGCAGACGGAGAGCAGCAAGGAGGAGGGCCACGCGGAGGAAGAGGGCTACACGAAGATGGGCGACGCAGAGGCGGGCGATTTGGACGGGCAGCGTGAAGGGGACGGGCAGCGTGGGCGGAGCGGGGCGAGGGGGAAAACGGCAGCGAGGAGGGCGACACAGAGCAGGCGGGCTCCGCGGGCGGAGAAGAGCGACGCGGAGGAGGGCGAGAGGGAGGGCGATGCAGAGCCGAACGTCCTCGGCCTGTCGTAGTTGTCGACAGGGCCGCAGAGGGGATGAGTGGGCATTGGGAGTGCAGGAGGGTGGAGCGGAGGACTCACCAAAACTGGGGCCGCGGTACATCGCTGCGACCCCCATATTCCAAGCCCCTCTGTGCGGTGTGTTCGTCACGAGTCCGTGGCCAGGAAGATGGGTGAAGGTCGGGATCGAGGTCGAGGTCGCTGTAACAGGCGTCGCCTGGCTTTGTTCTCGAGCTGCGACCTCAGAGGGGGCATCTTCGGACGCGTCGTGTCCTGAGTCGGACACCCCGCCTTCGCGCGTCGTCGGGAATGACCCGAGGTGGTATAAGGAGTACGAAGTCAGCCAGGGCAGTTGGCGAGCTGCGCTGGCGGGGTTCGGACCGTTACGGGATGCGATTCACACGCTAAGTGCAGGTCGCGCGTGCGTGCCTTGGTGCCAGCTCATTGTCCCCTCATGCCTTTCACTTCACCTCCTCCCTCCCGCTGGCCATGCAAAGACCTCCGCAACACACCAAGAACGTCCAGCGTGATGTCCTCAACATGGAGATCGCAAATGCGGGATCGTGGGGAGCTCCCGCAGCCTCGCTCTGTCCTGGTGAGTACTCTCACGCGTTCTTCTCTTGGGCCGTCCTCCACATCCTTCATCTCCCCAGCCCGTATTCTGCGCCCCCCACCTCAACCTCCCGACCTCACAATGCGTGAGGACCCTGTCTCGGTGAGTCTCCCGCTCTACTCTCCTGCGCTTCCTACCTAGCCCATCGCCTCTCCAAGCCCCAGCAGCGCCATCGTCCCCATCCCCTCAATGAGCACGTCCCAACTGACGTACTCGGGACGCTCTTTCCGTCAACGTGGCCGTGGTGCGCCGCCATTGCCACTCGCGCGCCGCCACGCCGCCCACCGCAACACTGTTCACCCGCGCGCCGCCACGCCGCCCACCGCAACGCTGTTCACCCGCGCTCCGTGTACAACCCTCGTGCGCGGCCTGCACCGCGGTGGTAGCGCGTGTGAAGGTTCACACCCTTGAATGACAGGTTACGGAGGGCACAACCTCGGTGCTTAGAGGTAAGTCTTCTCCGTTTTGCCTGCCCTGCGTTCGCTCACTCACTCATTCTCGCCCGTCTCCCCCTCATCGCCCATTTTGATCTCGTCCGTGTCACCCATTTTGCCCATGTCCGCCTCATCTGCTTCGCCTACGTCGCCTGCATTGCCTGTGTCGCCCACCTGGTTCATCTCGCCCTGGCCCGCGTCGCCTGCTGCGCCCTCATTCGCGTCGCCCTCGCCCGTCTCGCCATCACCCGTCATGCCCCGTGTCGACCTCGTCTACCTGTCCTCACACGCGTCTTGTCTCCGCGTCGCCGTCTCACCCCACCGTCTCTGCGTCGCCGACCTCGCCCGCGTCTCCTACCTCTCCCAATTGTCCATGCCGCCCGCATCTCCCCCACGTCACCCACATCACGCCCCTGCGTCGCCCGCACTCTCACCCAGAGCCCACGTCATCCGCATCGTCTGCGTCTGCGTCGGCCCTGCGTCGTCCTCGTCCACCTCGCCCACCTCGCCCTCACCCACCGCCTCGCCCCTCTCGCCCTCGCCCATCTCGCCCACGTAATGCTCTCGCGTCGCCCTCTCTGCGTCGCCCATCTCTGCCCGCGTCGCCCTCCTGCCGGCGTCCTCCGCCCCCGTCCGCCACCTCCACCCACGCTGCCCTCCTCCGCCAGTGTCGCCCACCTCCGTGTCGCTCTCGTTACTGCATAGACATTCATGCCAGTGGGGAAGGCCCTGTAGCTCTGTAAATAGCTGGTTGTCTTGCACGATACTTTGTGTAGTCTAGTCGTCTTTGCCAATAAATTTCGTTCTCATCACCTCTATCTGTGTGACTGTCCCTGATATTGGTCCGCTAATCTGAACTATTTCTGAGCAGCCCTACTATGTCCAGATGTATGAACTAATGCTTGCCTACGCCTACGACTATCCCTGTCTATTTGACTAGATTAGTTTTTGGGACTTCTAAATAGTCCTAATCAACTATTCCTGACTATTGGTCTAATTAGTGCTAAATAGTCCTAATTAGGAGTTGGGGGTTTCCCTGACGGCGCTGACCCACTCCCCAGATGGTCCTCGCCCCCTCCGTCGCGCTCTCTATCCCAGCCTCGCCCGTGTTGCCCGCGTATCACCCCCATGTCCCCCACCTTGTCAGCATTGTCCTCACCCTCGCCCTCTCCGCCTTCCCCTCATTCGTGTTTTCCACCACCTCGCCCTGTCCTCGCCTCGCCCTCGCCTGCCTCCTTGTCACCCTCGTCTGTGTCACCTTCGCCCACATCGTCCGCCTGCTCGGTGTCGCCTGCCACACCCTCATCCTGCCCCTGCGTACCCTTGTCCAGCGAACCTCTCGCCGCCCCTGTCTTACGCCCACGTTGCGCCGGCGTCACCCGCCTTTCCGCACGCCCTGCTCTGCGCCACCCGCATTACCCGCCTTGCACGCCCTCGCGCCCTCGCCCTCGCCCACGCACCTCGTGCCCGTCTCGCCGTTACCCATCCGCGTCGCCCATCGCACCCTTGCCCACCCTTGTCCCCCTGTCGCCCGTCCCACCCGTGTCGCCCACGTCCCCCGCTTGACCCACATCGCTCACCTTGCCCACGTCGCCCGCGTCGCCCCTGTGTCAATAGTACATTAGATTTACATAACATACCATCAATATATCTCTTGAAAGGTGCATTAGACGTGCGGATCTGCGGCTCAACCCACGAATGAGCCGGAGCTGGAGCTGCGGCTCCAGCTCTTCCAGAGGATCAGAACCATGCGGCTCTGGATCAAGCCTCCAGAAGGGCCCTGATCCGTGGGTTCGGATCCGGCTCACCCACGGATCGAGCCGCAAACAGCCTTAGCAAGAACGTTGGAGCCAGAGGTAACCATTCTTCATGCATGGTCACTTGCTTCTGCACAGAGTATGAGCAGAGTGAGGCAAAAACTCAGAAGACAATTGCCTTGTATTTGGATTTTTTCTCGCTGGGCCCCAGCTGCGTAACTTCGGGCATCTCCCAAGCGGTTCCATCATCACGTGCGTCTGATTGAGGGGTCGGATCCGGCACTCGTGAGGCCCCGCTCCGGTAGTCCTCTGAGCCACCGGCTGATGCGTAAACCGGTGGGCCTGGGTCGATCTTGCGTTTCTTGGTGCGCCTGTGGCCGTCCTTGGTGTAATACGTTTGCGAAGTTGTAGTATTGAGTACTCGAGCTTGCTGGGGATTGGCGAGGGGCATGATGGCAGAGTGAGAGAACAGACGAGCGAGGGGAAAGCTTGCTCGTATCGATGATATCAAGGACTCGGCAAAGACATACTCCTACTGTTCGCTGAGTTGAAACGGGACCAAATAAATGTATACAAAAAATTCCGGGTCTGAGATGGATTGACTGTCCTCGACACATCAACCGTTCCCTCGATCATCACACCGCCGTCTTTCCCACTCTGCTTGCGCAATGTCAACTACCAAAAACGCTCCCGAAGACCCGTTTTCAGATTTCCAGTGGAAGAAGTCCGAGGTTTCGGAGATGCGAAAAGCGATAGAGAAGTGGAAGCCTGCACAAACGGCAACCCGCCGGACAATTGAGAAGAACTTGGTGGAGGTCTTTCTGCATCAGCGAGGTCTTGACGCCCCGTTCTTGGCAGGCTTCGTGCAAAAGGTGAGTCTCTAGGTGATTCCAACAAGAATTCTTTCTTCAATCTGCGCAGAAATGTTCGCTGTGGTTCAGCAACCACACTGCCGACCACCAGGAGGGAACACCGGACTGGTGCGGTCTCAGGTTGTTCACCGGTCGTGGCCTCTGGTACAGTAAGAACTTCAAAGAAGTTGAACAGCAGGCGGGCAAGGACGCGACGTTTGGCATGAAAAACAGCCAGGCAGTGGAGATGTGGAAGCTGCTCGACGAGGAGGAGCAAGAGGAGTGGCTGGATTTGGCTGCCGAGTACAACACGAAGCCGCCACCTCCGGATGTTCAGCGAGAGTACGCATGGGTTTGCATGTGTACCGCCGTCGGTATTGATTATCGGTTAGCTACGCAAACAAGAATATGGTCCACATTGTCGAAGAGTTTATCAAGTTCTTGTTCCGTATTTGTGGTGCAGCAGTCTTTATATACACAACCCGCCCAGCTGTTGGCGGTCAGGTCAATACCCATTTGTGAGAAAATTCTGTCGCCCCACTAATGTGTATTGACTCCATTCTCAGCGACGATACCACGCAGTACATTGACAATGCTACTGCGCTTCAAAAGCACGAGCTCTGGGACACTAACACGAAGGTGGCCTGCTTGGACACGTTCGGTAGGCTCCTCGGCATGGCCGGCGATGAGGGCCCCCCGGTAAAGACTCTGCACATTGCCGTGTATTACCGCTCATTACCGTAATATTAGGCGCTCCGTGATCACAACCTCTTTCGTCGGCAGCGGCGGGATCGCTCAACGACGGTCCCGTTTGAATACAAGTATGGTCTGCCGCAGCCATATTGTTCTCCTCGCAATGGGAAGAAGATGACAACAAAGGACGTTTACGCTCACGGTTGCGACTTTTTCCGTCTTCATCTGAGTCAGTGAATATCATTAATGCGTATTGCAAACTAAAGTTCGGCAATAGGTCTCGCAACTGGGGACGGCGTCTTGCTCAATTCTGTCCCATGGAGCACCATCAAACTGGAACTCGAAAAATACATCCCGGGAGAATACCTGACGACAGAATTCAAGGACAAGTTTGACTGCATGAGCAAGATGTCAGTCATCGCTCAGAAGAACTGGATTATGTTACGATCGAGGACGCCAGTGCGTTACCCCATTTAATTTCTATGCATAACCCCACTCCCCCGATATGTACACTCTCTAAACACCTACTAAATATCTCCGACTCGTACGGACTCATCCCGATTCACGCTGCTACACCATGACTCGTCGAACGCCCCTAGTCATCGTAGGTCATGGGTGACTTGAGACATCTCATACGGACTCGTCGTGACTCGCAGTTAATATGACTCCCCCCACTCTCCACATGTATATAAGGACGACGCCTCTGAGCGCCCTCTCCCCAGACTTGAATCTCCTCTTGTACTACTACGTCTACCTGACTACGCGCAATCTCACTCGTTGTCGCTCGCACTCGCTCGACAGCACGCAAGCGCTCTGAGCATCGCCACCATAACCACAAGGTGCCTAGGTCGTATTCCAGCTGGAATAAGCCCTCAGACGTAACATTAGATTCAAGTCTCGAACCCTCCACTTCTATAAGTGCAGAGGATCTATCTAGGACCAAGGAAGGCTGTGTACTGCTCGAACGCAGAACACAGTATAAACATCAGACATCACGGATATCGTTCAGCAATACGCGAGTTCGGAAACCAGCCAAAGGGAAAACTCCCGCAACTCACACCTATACGCTGCACCTGGAACCCCGCTCATTCTATTGCCAAGGACCCCTCTTCACGGACGACCCACCCTTCGCATTGAAGTCCATAGCCCAGTACCAGAGCCCTATACTCCCTTCGACACAATAATCAACGAAGACGAAGAGAGAACTGCGATACAGGCTCAAGCAGAAGACAATTCAAGCGAAGATACTGTTGAAGAATACTACACCTTTAGAAGAGCCCTAAGGCAAGGAGGAGAAAACCTGAGCGCACTCCAGACCGAACCCATCTTAATAGAAAGATTTGGAGCACTCGAACTGGAAACACTCCATCAACAACTCACAGACCTGGACGATACTCTCGGCGAATTCTACGGAGTTCCAGACCTGGACGAAGAACCAATTGAACTACCTCTTCACGCGCACGACCCAATCACCAAGCTCGTGCAACGCCTTCAGTTCGAAGTAGCCGATCTTGAACAATTTGTATTCAACTTTAGGGGTAACTTCATCCATCCGGACTACCCCAACCGCCTCGAAGCACTCAAACGAGTTCGCATCGCTCTCGAAACGGTTCAAGAATATTTGAATGTCAACTGAAGCGAGCGAAGAACCCGATAGATCGTGCAAGGACTACGCTCATATCTTCAACCCAGCCAATACTGCCGACTATCACATTACTAGACGAGGATATCAACGGTGCACCACACAACGCTGTCCCATCAGATACTGGGCAGCCAGAAAGTACAAGGCACCAGAACTAGAACCCCCATACGAGCCAGTATCAGAACTACAGGAAGAACTATTTGCAGCACAATATCCCACAGGCCTTGAACGACTGTGGAAGCCACTGCAAACCAAGGAACAATCCCAACCTATGCCCCCGAAGCTGGCCAGGATTGTTAGGACCACCTCAGGCACCTGTGGTTACCCCAATTGTAATACAATTGCCCAGGAGCCTGCAGAACGGGTTTTGTTAACCCCCACCAGGTGGTCATTGTACTATATCCCTACCAGGGCATTGTAATAAGCCATAAGTCTAATGACAGAACTTCTGCAGCCTTGTAATAAGCCTCGCCACTAATAACAGAAGGCCCCCAGGGCTGTAATAAGTTGATATTCTAATGACAGCACCCTCCCAGGACTGTAATAATCCTTGTTTCTAATGACAGAAGGTCTCCAGAGCTGTAATAAGTTGGAATCTTAATAACAAAGTGTCCCCAGGGCTGTAATAAGCCTCGTCTCTAATGAAAGAAGCCTCCCAGGGCTGTAATAAGTTGGTATTCTAATGACAGAGCATCCCCAGGGTTGTAATTAGCCCCGTTTCTAATGACAGCACCTCCCCAGGGTTGCAATAAGCCCCGTTCCTAATGACAGAAGGCCCCCAGGGTTGTAATAAGTCGATATTCTAATGAAAAAGTGTTCCCAGGCTTGTAATAGGCCCTGTTTCTAATCACAGAACCTTCCCAGGGCTGTGATAAGTTGATACCCTAATGACAACAGCCCCCCAGGCTTGTAATAGGTCCCGTTTGTAATGACAGAACATCCCCAGGGTTATAATAACTCACGTCAGGTACTATCCAGCTATTAATAGCCTCATATCATCGCTGGCCTGGCCAGCTATTAATACCTGGTATACAGGTACCCTACCCTGCCCTGCAGCCCCCAATTGGGTGAATAGCAGCTGCCTACAAGATAGCTATCAATAGCAGTGGATAGCAGCAGGTCCCTGCAGCTGAAATAGGGTGCAGTAGCTGGTTCCCGCACGTAAACGGTAGGGGTTGCACAGCTGGGCAGGGTGGGAAAACAACCAGGCACTATGTATGGATCAAAAGAGGCATCATATAGCTTCCAAACGCATCCAAGAGCATGCCATTCGGAGCAGTATTGGCGGAGATACAGGTGTACCCCCGTTTTTGCCGATGGGCACATCCACTAGAATTGGGAATTGTGGATGGATCCCCTCCGTTCTTTTTGCATGGTGTGTGGTTCTCTCTCCAATAGGTGGGATTGAAGTCCGATCGCGAAACGATGAACACAATCTGGATTAGATTGCCGGTTACGCTTCAGCCACAGCACTTTTGATAGCTTGATACCTCTGCACCACATCCCCCGATAAGCATTTGGTTTTTTGCAGTCTCTTACATCAATGTATGAGGACACACTCTGGGTGTCATTTGGACGTGAAACACTCTGAACATGTCCCTGCGCATCTGTGCACATTCAACACCCCTTCATTCATAGCTCCACAACCGTTGCTCCGATCGCCACGCTGCTTGCTGCAACCATTCGGCATTGTAAAGCTCAACCAATATCAGGTTTCAAATCTCTTATCGCACATCTGATAGCTTTGGTAACCCCACATCTCACCTTCAGTTTACCCCCTGATCTGAGGCCACTCGCTAGTCTGATAGTAGCATATGTACTTGATCTGAACTCAGATAGAACACAGCTTCAAGACGCAAAAAGAATCTTGTTGATCGGCCAAGAATTGGCTGAGATGTCACAGCGGGGTCTGGAATGGGTGCACTTTTGCTTCACAGCTGCACCTCTCACTTCACACAAACCTGCAATTGGGCCCACACAGCCATTAAAATGGTGTAATGACTCATGGAACATGTTTGAGTGTGCTATTGAACTCAATTGAGCATCACTGCCATATTGGGGGGTAAGTACATCACTTCATGCCTGCATATGTGGGTGTGAAGTGAGAGGTGCAGCTGTGAAGCAAAAGTGCACCCATTCCAGACCCCGCTGTGACATCTCAGCCAATTCTTGGCCGATCAACAAGATTCTTTTTGCGTCTTGAAGCTGTGTTCTATCTGAGTTCAGATCAAGTACATATGCTACTATCAGACTAGCGAGTGGCCTCAGATCAGGGGGTAAACTGAAGGTGAGATGTGGGGTTACCAAAGCTATCAGATGTGCGATAAGAGATTTGAAACCTGATATTGGTTGAGCTTTACAATGCCGAATGGTTGCAGCAAGCAGCGTGGCGATCGGAGCAACGGTTGTGGAGCTATGAATGAAGGGGTGTTGAATGTGCACAGATGCGCAGGGACATGTTCAGAGTGTTTCACGTCCAAATGACACCCAGAGTGTGTCCTCATACATTGATGTAAGAGACTGCAAAAAACCAAATGCTTATCGGGGGATGTGGTGCAGAGGTATCAAGCTATCAAAAGTGCTGTGGCTGAAGCGTAACCGGCAATCTAATCCAGATTGTGTTCATCGTTTCGCGATCGGACTTCAATCCCACCTATTGGAGAGAGAACCACACACCATGCAAAAAGAACGGAGGGGATCCATCCACAATTCCCAATTCTAGTGGATGTGCCCATCGGCAAAAACGGGGGTACACCTGTATCTCCGCCAATACTGCTCCGAATGGCATGCTCTTGGATGCGTTTGGAAGCTATATGATGCCTCTTTTGATCCATACATAGTGCCTGGTTGTTTTCCCACCCTGCCCAGCTGTGCAACCCCTACCGTTTACGTGCGGGAACCAGCTACTGCACCCTATTTCAGCTGCAGGGACCTGCTGCTATCCACTGCTATTGATAGCTATCTTGTAGGCAGCTGCTATTCACCCAATTGGGGGCTGCAGGGCAGGGTAGGGTACCTGTATACCAGGTATTAATAGCTGGCCAGGCCAGCGATGATATGAGGCTATTAATAGCTGGATAGTACCTGACGTGAGTTATTACAACCCTGGGGATGTTCTGTCATTACAAACGGGACCTATTACAAGCCTGGGGGCTGTTGTCATTAGGGTATCAACTTATCACAGCCCTGGGAAGGTTCTGTGATTAGAAACAGGGCCTATTACAAGCCTGGGAACACTTTTTCATTAGAATATCGACTTATTACAACCCTGGGGCCTTCTGTCATTAGGAACGGGGCTTATTGCAACCCTGGGGAGGTGCTGTCATTAGAAACGGGGCTAATTACAACCCTGGGGATGCTCTGTCATTAGAATACCAACTTATTACAGCCCTGGGAGGCTTCTTTCATTAGAGACGAGGCTTATTACAGCCCTGGGGACACTTTGTTATTAAGATTCCAACTTATTACAGCTCTGGAGACCTTCTGTCATTAGAAACAAGGATTATTACAGTCCTGGGAGGGTGCTGTCATTAGAATATCAACTTATTACAGCCCTGGGGGCCTTCTGTTATTAGTGGCGAGGCTTATTACAAGGCTGCAGAAGTTCTGTCATTAGACTTATGGCTTATTACAATGCCCTGGTAGGGATATAGTACAATGACCACCTGGTGGGGGTTAACAAAACCCGTTCTGCAGGCTCCTGGGCAATTGTATTACAATTGGGGTAACCACAGGTGCCTCAGGACAACGAGCGAAAGATTCACCCAGACTCACACCCAGATCCTTAACAACCAAGGAAGAACCAGTAACGGCCCCAATCCCAGGAACAAGCCGCACGGGTAAACAACCAGATGTAACCCCCGAACGCAAAGAACCAGAACCAGAAATGGCAACGGTGACAGAAACAGAAGTGGTACGGACCACCATCACTGAACCAGTACAGCCAGAGGAAGAATCCGACCATGACTCAGGAAGAAGCCCCTTGAACTTCAATTGGGAAGAAATGAGGAGGCAACGTAACGAAGAAGCAGCGAGAACACTCCAGCAAAGAATGGAAGAAACTCAATGGAGCTTCAAACAACGAGGAGTGCCAAGCTTTGCTTTAAGCACAAACCCCACAAATGCAAGCGCTTCAGCAGCCGCCTGGACATCAACAGTGCTACCCCGACTCTCAGGGATCGCGCGATACCCAACTCCCGAACCACAAGGAAACCCACCACCTGCTCCTGGGCAAGGAGGAGGGTGGCCCGGGCAAGGACCTCCGGGAGGAGGACCACCTGCCAATCCGGGTGGAAATATTCTGCAAGGACCTTTGGGTGGTTACATGCCAATGCGAGGAAAGAGAAAGGTCAAACTACCAGAACCCTTCAATGGAGACCGAGACAAGCTTGACACATTTGTACAAGCTCTACTCCTGCTATTCGACGCACGACCCGTCAACTTCCCGGACGACCAGACAATGATCACTACCGCCCTATCCTACATGGAAGGAGGTACAGCAGCGATCTGGAAGACAGCCGTCCTACGCCAAGCCTGGGAAACCGATGCAGCAGGAAACAGACAAGGCTATGGAACATGGAGGAACTTCCTCGCGGCTCTACTCGCTACCTTCACACCCATCAATGAGGAAATGCACGCCGCCAACAGACTACGTACTCTGACATCAAAGGATTACGAGTCCATCGACACCTTTAATGGAACCTTCATGGATCTAATCACGAAGGCGCTTATCACGGAACCACGCGCCCAACTAGCGTGGTACCGACAATCCCTCGATGCCCCAGTACGCAACAAGATCCTAGACATGGCCACAGTACCTGCAGACCTCAACACATGGATGGCGCAAGCCATCAATGTCGACAG